TCACCGTGTTAGCCAGGATGGTCTTGATCTCCTGACCTCGTGATCCGCCCGTCTCGGCCTCCCAAAGTGCTGGGATTACAGGCTTGAGCCACCGCACCCAGCCGACAAAGTGAAACTTTAAAAAATAAAATTGTTTTTTCTTTTTCAGTGTGGTAAAATATATACAACATAAAAATGACCACGTTAACCACTTCAAAGTCTAATGTTCTGTAGCATTAAGTACATTCATATCGTTGTGCAACCAGCACCACCATCCACCTCCAGAACGTTTTCATCTTTCCCAACTGAAACTCTGTAATCATTAAATGCAAAATTCCTTCTCCCAGTCCCTGGCAACCACCATTCTACTTTCTGTTTCTATGAATTTGACTACTCTAGGTACCTCAGTGAAGTGGAATCATATAGTATTTATCCTTTTGTGACTGGCTTATTTCACTTAGCACACGTCCTCAAGGTTCATCCATGTTGTAGCATGTGTGAGAATTTCCTTTACTTTTCTTTATGAGACACAGTCTTGCTCTGTCGCTCAGGCTGGAGTGCAGTGGCGTAATCTTAGTCTCACTGGAACCTCCACCTCCCAGGTTCCAGGGATTCTCCTGCCTCAGCCTCCCGAGTAGCTGGGACTCTGGGTGTGCGCCACCACACCGGGCCTACTTTTAAGACTGAATAATAGTCCATTGTGTGTGTGTGCACACATTTTGTGCATCCATTCACCTGCTGGACTTCTGGGTTGTTTCCATTTTTGGCTATCGTGAATAACGCTGCTATAAATGTGGGTGTATAATATTGATCTGAGTTCCTGCTTTCCGTTATTTTGTAATCTGTACCTAGAAGTGGAATTGCCGGATCACAAGGTAACTTTATGTTTATCTTTTTGAGGAACTGTCATGTTGTTTTCTGTAGTGGCGCTACCATTTTCTATATCCCATGCACGAGGATACCAGTATACCAGTTTTTCCACATCCTTGTAAACATTTGTAATTTTCTTCTTTTAAAAAAAATAATGGCCTACCTAATGGGTGTGAAGTGGTATCTTAGTGTGATTTCCCCAGTGACTACTGATGTTGAGCATCTTTTCTTTTGCTTTTTTGGTTATTTGTCTTCTTTGGAGAAACGCCTATTCAAGTCCTTTGCCTATTTTTAAATTGGGTTTTGTTGTTGTTAAGTTGTAGGAATTCTGGATATATATAGTCTGGAATTTTTCTTTTGATACAGGGTCTTGATGTGTCATCCAGGCTGTAGTGCAGTGGCATGCAGCTCACTGCAGCCTCGACCTCCAGGGCTCAAATGATCCTCCCACTTCAGCCTCCTGATAGGTGCATGTCACCATGCCTGATTGATTTTTAAATTTTTTGTAGAGATGGGGTTTTGCCATGTTCCCCAGGCTGGTCTTGAACTCCTGGGCTCAAGTGATCCTCCCACTTCTGCCTCCCAAAGTGCTGGGATTACACGGGTGAGCCACTGTGCCTGGCCTATTCTGGATGTTAATCCCTCACCAGATATGTGGTTTGCAAATATTTTCCCCCATTTTGTGGACAGAACAGCAATGTATTTAATTCAGTTACTAACTTGACATGATTGTCAGGCCAATTTCTCTAGACTTCACTTTTCTCAAATATAAAGTTCAGAGTATTGGACTAGATAGCGTTAAGAGTTCTTTTGGCTTTAAAAATCTATGAAAAGCTGAGTGTGATGGCATGTGCCTGTAGTCCCAGCTACTCAGGAGGCTGCGGTGGGAGGAATGTCTCAGCCCAGGAGTTCAAGAGCAGTCTGGAAAAAATGGCAAAACCCCATCTCTTAAAAACAAACACAAAAACAAAAAACCTATGGAAGAGAGTCCTTAACAAGTAAGTTCATGTAAGGAAATCAACATTTCTACCACTATTCCCCTTCCATGCAAATTTGTTTATGCTATTCACTAGCTTGGCAAAAAGTTGACCGAAAAGCCAGATCCTTACCTAAAAGGCCTACTCATAGGCCGGGTGCGGTGGCTCACGCCTGTAATCCCAGCATTTTGCAAGGCTGAGGTGGGTGAATCATTTGAGGTCAGGAGTTCAAGACTAGCCTGACTAGCATGGTGGTCAAAAAAACTAGCCGGGCGTGGTGGTGTATGCCTGTAATTCCAGCTACTTGGGAGGCTGAGGCAGGAGAATTCCCCTGAACCTGGGAAGTGGAGGTTGCAGTGAGCCAAGATCGCGCCACTGCACTCCAGCCTGGGCGAAAAAGCAAGACTCTGTCTCAAAAAATTAAAAAAAAAAAAAAAAAAAGGCCTACTCATTAGTTTGAATTATTTGTGTTGAATCCTACCAGGGTCATTATTTAAGAATTTTGCTACATATGTGATACCTAAAGTTTGGTTCCATAGAACTATTTAATACAACGAAGAAAAATATATAATCATTACCTTTCAATCAGTGAATTCATTATCTCACTATTTTCTTGAAAAAGGCAAATGAGGTTGTTTGGTAGGGAAAGATAGTTACATAAATGTTCAAAATGGCTTGTTCCAGGAACTGCAAACGAAGAACAAGAAAAGAGTGCATATAACAACTAAGGGCATATTCCGCATGAGAGTTAAGCAATAGCAGGGCTTAAAAAAAAGATGAAAGAGTTCCAATTTGCCAGGTATGTAACTTGTAGGAAGTTAACAGAATGGCACGTGGAAGGAATCCATGGAAAATGACGCAATGCATTGAGAGCAGTCAGGCGACTCCTACATCAAACTGGTCCCAATGTCCTGGTGTCTCAGCTTTATCATTTGCAAAATGGTGTGCCTGCACAATCTACTGCACAGGGTTATTGTGAACATTAAATGATAAAAATAATGTATGGGTGCTCTGGAAAAGGATCAACCAATACAGAAATACAAGCTGGTTTTACCATGAGACATGGATTTAAATACCAACTCTAATCATCACTGCAAATAATCTGGAAGATTAAATTCTTTTATATGGTTCCTAAACAACTAGCTGAATGGAAATGCCAGTTGACAAACTTTCAGAGAGTAGCACTGCATGCAGGTATTCTATGGCCAGTGCCAGGCACTGTGATGATACACAGATATAGTCAAGTCCACCTTCATACTACTTTTATGGAATGAATCAAAACAGAACATGGAAAACAACTATGAAAGAGCAAATGAATTCCCACATTAAAATCAGATTTATGTGCAATTATGGGTATTCTAAATTTTAACGCCGTGCATGTTTCAAGTTAAAAATCACATGAAATTGTCAGTTTTCACCTTTTCAAATCTGAGGAACCTTGTTTATAAATAATACATAACTGAACATTTTAACATCTGAAAGCAAAACTGCGATCTTTACGGGAGAAGTGCTTTGCAGGTGTAAAAACATTTACATAGGAGTTTGACAGTCACTGAGATCCAAATAAATGGAGACATATGCATAAACATACATGTTATGCTATAAATGTGTGCATCACCATAGTCAATTAGCTATGCTTTGAACTTTTAGTCAATTTTCATTTTTGCAAGTGATCTTTATATTTGCCGGAGTAAAGGATTACAAACTCTCCCTACGTTTTGAAAGAAAGTATAAATTACCTTGAATGTCGGGTGGGGAAGGAACTCCATTTAAGTAATGAAAAAATAAAGCAGAACACTTCAGGAAAGGCGTGACTCCAGCTCTGACGCTCCTCCACAGATGCCAGCCGGATGGTGTTTCTTTCAAGGCACTAAAAAAGAAAAAAAAGATTATTGGGAAATCTACTAAGAAAAGGTCACTGTACTTATAGCACAGTGTGAAAACAAATTTGACTGTCATTTGGAACTGATGGCATGTATGCTTAAAAGGAGTGAGTTAACAGGCAAGTGGGTGTGTGTTATTATAGGACGCTAGGTGTAAGTGGTGACATAGTCTCCAATGCTGTTATTAAAATTTATAAAAGTAATATAGTGACATAAAGAGAAAATGTGGAAAATGAAAAGTCCAGGCTGGACTCAAACTATTGGGCTCCAGCAATCCTCCCACCTCAGCCTCCCGAGCAGCTGGGACTACAGGCACATGCCACTGCACCCAGCTCCTAGGAGCCATATTTTAAATAGATTTATAATATTTTGGAACACATCCACCACTATATCCAACTATTCCCCCTGCAAACACTTAGATTGCTTTCAATTCTTTGCTAATGTAAATAATATCACATATACATCTTTTTCTTTTTGAGACAGGGTCTCACTCTGTTGTCCAGTCTGGAGTGCAGTCGTGTGATGGTTCACTGTAGCCTTCATCTCCCCGGTTGATATGACTACCTCAACCTCCTGAGAAGATGGGACCACAGATACATGCCACCATGCCTGGCTAATTTTTGTACTTTTTTGGTAGAGACAGGGTTTTACCATGTTGGCCAGGCTGGTCTCGAATGCCTGGGCTCAAGTAATCTGCCAGCCTCATTCTCCCAAAGTGCTGGGGTTACACGGGTGAGCCACTGTGCCTGACTGGAGTTTCCATCTTTATATGCCTATATTTTTTTTCTGTATGTTGAATTATTTTGTTAATGTAGGTTCTCAGAAATGGGATAAAATTTATTCAAAAGCAGACATTTTTATAGGTTCTTGACTTTACAGATTCTTGACATATATACTATTGAAGGCTAAGCAAACTACTGAATTGCTGTTTGTGGCAAATCATGACTCTTAACCATACATGAAATTCTAATGATTTCATTTTATTCCTGCCACTACTGAATATTACCTTAAAAATAAATTATGCAATTTAACTTGCAGTTTTAAATTCCCATTCTGAATGAGACAACATAAGTTTTAGAATATCAACTTTCCAAAGTACATTTGATCTGTCCTCTAGCCTGTGCCAGATCCTCTGAGCAAATGAAGGGTTCCACAGCCAAATAAATGTGGGAAGCTCTTCGTATTATCACCTTTCTCCCAGATTTCCAATTATGTTAGTATATGAATAGCTCAGAAAAGCCCTGCAGATCACTCCACATCTTCTTTTAAAAACATGTCAACAGACAACAATTTCCCCTAATTAACAAACGAATTCCTTTCTCATGCTATCATCATCTAGCAATATTTAGGGAAATGCGTTATCACGCAGAGATAACTAGCTCACCTTCCCGTATACTGGTGAAGCGTTTTATACAAAGCAAGAACTGCTGATTCTTCTTCACAAGTGGGATTTTCTTGATCCATGCCATTCTCTTCTGAAAGATAAGGAAATACTAGTACTCTGTATTTTTCAGTTAAGTGTTACCAAAAGGACTGAAGATATTAAACATGCAAATATATTCATAAACTCACATATAATATGAAATATTCTTAGAAAACATGCAAAATTTTAACCCCTCAAGTGGGAGCACAGTATTGATCTCCATCAAACCAAACAGCCAGCTGGCACGTTTTAAGTAACATCAAATAAATATAGTCTTAAAAGTGTATGAAAAACAAGAATTTTGAATGCAAAACATAATTTAATGATGAATTCATGTGGGCATTAGCAAACATGTAAGTTAAAACAAAATTGGCATTCTAAAACATAAGATTCTAAAAGATTTAATTACTATCCTACACAAATATTACTCAATGTATGAAATTAAAACTAGAAAGATTCATATTACTAGGAAATTTTAAGAGAAAGAAATGTTTCAAAACTTTTCATATGAGGATACACAGAAAAAAATAGCCTAATTCAGGTATTATTCTCATCCAAATACCTTTTCCTCTAATACTTTCTTTTTAAACTCAGAAAACTCAAGTATTTCCTTCAAGAAGCTGACAAAAAGGCAAGAGTTACCTGTACATGAGGTAAGTAAGATCTGTATGATGTGTGCCATAGTAACCAGATGGAAAATGTGAAGGTCTCCAGTGCCAAGGCTGATCCCTGAAAAATCCTGACACTGCAACGCAGGGAACGCAAGCACCAAGCCCACCTAGGCACCAAACACAGGACATCAGACAGATCGCCTATCCTTTCACAGCTAAGCACATTTCCATCTTCTTACTTTTACTTTTATTTTGATTTATTTTTTTTTTTTGAGACAGAGTCTCACTCTGTTGCCCAGACTGGAGTGCAGTGGCGCAACCTTGGTTCACTGCAATTTCCACCTCCTGGGTTCAAGCGATTCTCCTGCCTCAATCTCCTGAGTAGCTGGGATTACAGGTGTGCAACATCACGCCTGACTTTTTGTACTTTTAGTAGAGACGAGGTTTTGCCACGTTGGCCAGGCTGGTCTCAAACTCCTGACCTCAGGTGATCTGCCTGCCTAGGCCTCCCGAAGTGCTGGGACTATAGGCGTGAGCCACCGCACCCGGTCACATTTCCATTTTCTTACTGTGATCCCTCCTGAGTTCAGCTCCTCCCTTTAAGAAATCTTTGTTCTTAAAGAAAGGGTATGCATGTTAGAAAATCCAACAGGACTGGCTACATGAAATGCCGTAAGAGTTACAGGACTCGATGGGCACTATGATTTCATTAATCCAGTGGGTCTCCTATACATAGCTTATTGTTAACAAAAACAATATCTGAACTCTTTCCAGGGAGTAGGCAGTTGAAAAAACATGGGTTTTGGATCCATAAATATCTAGATATGAATCCTACCTCCTCCTCTTATGAGCTTTTTTACACAAATTAACATCTCTGATCAGGCCTCAGTTTCCCTACTGGTAAACTAGAGACAGTATGTTACATGTACGTGGTAGAGATGTGTGAATGTATGTAAACGCTGGCAAGTACACAAATGCTAGCTCTGTCGGCCTACTGCTGTCTGCATGGCATTCTAAGTGGTGGTGGTTTTAGTTGCAGCAATGAGAACAGTAATAGCCAGCATTTATTAGGAATATATTGCTCTAAGTGCTTTACATGGATTGAGTTCTGACACAGTCATATAAAGTAGGTACTAATCAACTTAAAGGTGCAGAATCTGAGGTCCAGAGAATAAGGGGACTGCTGGATGTGGTAGTACACTCTGTATCCTGTGCAAGGGAACCCAGTTGAGGTAGGGCTGAAATTTGACTAACCACTATTTGGATAGCTGTGTGTCTTAGCACCAGGATGTACCAGCTCAGAGGACATACCTTTCCCTGAATTATAAGGGGCTCTCTGCTGCTAAGTAGTGTGACCACACTGTCAGAATTTTGAAAATGTACAAAAGCACTGTATCGGCCAGCAGCAGTGCTTCTGTTGCTGGTTTTTTGATGGGGTCTTGCTCTGTCATCCAGGATAGAGTGCAGTGGTGCAATCTTGGCTCACTGCAATGTCCACCTCCTGGGTTCAAGTGATTCTCCTGTCTCACCCTCCTGAGTAGCTGGGATTACAGGCGTGTGACACCGTGCCCAGCTAATTTTTTGTACTTTCTGTAGAGATAGGGTTTCACCATGTCGGCAAAGTTGCTCTCAAACTCCTGACCTCAAGTGATCTGCGGTGAGCCTTGCAAAGTGCTGGGATTATAGGCATGAGCCACCACCACCTGACCAGTTGCTGGTGTTTTTATCTCTTTACAGATTAAAAGCACAGAGAGGTTAAAATACTGACCTCAGCCACAAAGCAAAATAAGAGTCAGAGGATGTCTCGACAACAAGGTCAAGTCTCTCAACTAGGTTCCTAAATATTTTCTTTTTGAGGTTTGTCATAAAAGAATTATACTGAGAAAGGGTAAGGAAATTATATAACTCCTTCCTGTCTGCCACTACACTGCTCACCAAACAAGGTAAAGTTACATAGTATGACATAGAAGTCCAAACTATAAAATACCCACCAATAAATGAAACATGTCAATATCTAATATGCATGGAAGTTCTTCATGGCTGTCATTAGGCACCAATGCTAGAGATTTAAAGAAAAATACATTAGGATATTTCATATGCCAAAATATGTTAAAATGTTTATAATCTGCTTTAAATTTATCTTCTTGTGAGATACGTGACAATTTATAAGCTACAGCTTATATATAAGACAACCAGTACTACTAAATATTTAATTCATTATTGAAAGAAGCTGTACCATTAAAAACAAAATTTCAGAGGATGAGAAATTACCATAACACGTTATAAATGTATTAATACTCACATGCAAAAAGTTTACAAAAATGTCCTTGCACCACTGAAAGTGATGCCACTGTCCAGTGTGCTGCGGCAAATCTCGTCAATGACCTAAGACAGTCATCCTAAAATAAAGAAACCAGTACAATTAACAAAAAAACCAACAGGCAAAGCAGTTCTCTTTCAGGAATGCTAGTTCAGAGCACAGCTGGATGCACAATGAAACTGCTCTAGATGGTATGGAACTAAATCTACGACATCTCCATGACATGCCTCTAACACAGGATAAATGGAATAGGAAATGTCTAAGTGTAATGCTGAATAAACGAAATCTATCCCTTTGCCACCATGTTGCTGGTTTTCTCTGGAAAAGAAAAGAATATAGAATATATGCATCAGACCGAAAGCAAGGGACACTCCCAAGATGCGGATGCAGGCCGGGAGCAGTGGCTCACGCCTGTAATCCCAATACTTTGGGAGGCCGAGATGGGCAGATCACCTGAGGTCAGGAGTTCGAGACCAGCCTGTCCAACATGGAGAAACCCTGTCTCTACTAAAAATAAATTAGTCAGGCATGGTGGCGGGCGCCTGTAGTCTCAGTTATTCAAGAGGCTGAGGTAGGAGAATCGCTTGAACCCTGGAGGGAGAGGTTGCAGTGAGCTGAGATCACACCACTGCACTCCAGCCTGGAAAACAGAGCAAGATTCCATCTCAAAAAACAAATAAACAAGCCAAGATGCGGATGCAGTATTTCTATGTTTATTCTAGAGAGATACTCTAAAACATGTATTTCTTATGTTTATCCTAAAGAGATACTCTAAAATGTGGATACTCTTTCTTAAAATGTAGAGTATCCTAAAGAGATACTCCAAATATCGGGGAAACTGTCCAAGAAGATGGTGGCACAAATGAGGGTGCCCGCAGCTATTAGAAATTGTTATGAGGACTAAATAAGCAGTAATAAGAAAACTCTTGATTTAAAGAATACCACAGCAACAAAGCTACATGTGAGTACCAATTGAAATCAAGAATAAACATGCTAATGGAAAAAGATGGAATGTGATAAGTAGATGACTTTATTCTTCCTGCTTGTTTTTTCATTTTCCAAATTTTCTGTAATGTTTGGTTCAATAAATATTGAGGTCCTACTATATACATTAGGTCCTGGTTCTGAAGATCTTCAAATAAAACCCATTCTCCCTCTCCTGCTCTCAAAGAGCTTAAAGCCCTGGGGGTAGGAAAGGAAGAAAGTCAGGAAGGAGACAGGCATCACAGATGAGAGATCTCTAACTCACAGTACAGGGCTCAGAGGGCTTTCTAAAGGAAGGGAAAGCTTGAACAGCATCTGAAAGAGTAGCAGTCTGCTTAGGGTACTCTAGGCAGAGGAAATGGAATGTGCAAAGGCGTGGGGACTAGCACTGAGGAACTGGCAGTGATTCTACAAATCTGGACCACAGGGCTGGGAACTGGCAGGAGGTGATAATGGAGAAACAGGTTACGTTTGTAAATGTATGAAGAATATGATCAGGATTGCTTTTGAGGAGCCCCTCTGATAATGTATTAGAGAAGGGTGAGATTCGGGGTAAAAACTGCTACAATAATCTAGGCAAGAAATGATGTAGGGCTGAACCAAACAAGTAGCAGAAGGCATGGTGAGAATTTGTCAGACTCTGCTGGCCAAGTGAATGGGAATGCCCAGGCTAAATAATGTATCTAGGCCAGGAACAGTGTGTCATGCCTGTAATCCCAGCATTTTGGGAGGCTGAGATGGGCAGATCACCTGAGATCAGGAGTTTGAGACCAGCCTGGCCAACATGGTAAAACTCCATCTCTACTAAAAATACAAAAATTAGCTGGGCGTGGTGGCGTGCACCTGTAATCCCAGCTACTCGGAAGGCTGAGACAGGAGAGTTGTTTGAACCTAGGAGGCAGAGGTTGCAGTGAGCCACGATCGTGCCATTGCACTCCAGTCTGAGTGACAGGGCAAGACTCCATATCAAAAAAAACAAAAACAAAAACAAAACACTTCAATTTTCTGGTTTCTCCTGGATGAATAGTGGTGAAATTAACTAAAAGAGGGACTGTAGGAAGAAAAATTAATTTGGATTGTTGAATTTTAGGTACCTGTAGGAGATCCAGGTGAAAAAATAAAGCAGGCAGAGAAAACCTAGGCCTAAGATAAAGATCTGGGTTGGAGATACACAGGTGGGGATCATTTGGATATAACTGAAATCAGAGGCATAGATGGGGCTGATCAGGGAAGAGTATTAGATGGCAGAACTCTGGAGGTTTAAAAATGACAACTGCAGGATGGAGGAGGGAGAGGAGGCTGAGAGGCAACAGCCACAGATGTAGAAAGAAAGCCAGGAGTGTCACAGAAATTAAGAGAAAAAATGAGTTTCAGAACGAAGAAGGAATGGAGAGAAATAAAAAGTTTCAGAACGAGCAATTAAGTAGAGGTTTCAAAGAAAAGGGCTAAAAAATGCCCACACAAAATGATAATTAGGAGATCATTTGGTGAACTTGGAAAAAGATATTTCATGGAAGTGATAAAGTGTTAGAAGTGGAGCCCAATTGCAGGAGTTGAAATATGAATGGTTAGCAAGAAAGTGGAGCTAGAATATACATTCTTCTTCTTCCTTTTTTTTTTAAGATAGGATCTTGCTCTGTTGCATAGGCTAGAGTACAGGGGCACAATCATGGCTCACTGCAGCCTCGACCTCCCCAGCTCCAGCGATCTACCCAACTCAGCCTCCTAAGTAGTTGGGACCACAGGAACATGCTACGCCACCACTCCTCGCCAATTTTAAAATTTGTGTAGAGATCAGGTCTCACTATATTGCCCAGGCTGCAATATTCTTTTTTTTTGAGATGGAGCTTCACTTTTATTGCCCAGGCTGGAATGCAATGGTGCAATCTCAGCTCACTGCAACCTCCGCCTCCCAGGTTCAAGCGATTCTCCTGCCTCAGTCTCCTGAGTAGCTGGGACTACAGGCATGCACCACCACACCTGGCTAATTTTGTATTTTTAGAAGAGACGAGGTTTCTCCACGTTGGTCAGGCTGGTCTCAAACTCCCGACCTCAGGTGATCCTCCCACCTTGGCCTCCCAAAGTGCTGAGATTACAGGCACGAGCCACCGCACCTGGCCTCCTGAAGTTTATTTAAAAGATTAAACCACAACCGTTACTTCTTTAATATCCTTACAGAAAGTGGGTTTTTACTACGAAAGAAGTGAATGTAGTAACTACTGCAGATCCGTAAGATTAAAAGAAGCAGAACCACCTAATTTCCATGCCCCCCTTTCATGAACTGAATAAACTGAGAACTTACCAGTCTGCAAGGTAAAGGACCAAACAATGGTTTATCTTCATCACTCAAAATTCTTTCTACAGATTAAAGATGGTTAAAATGGTAAATGTTATGT